CGGGCGCACCTGGTTGGTCCCCCAAGATTTCAGCAATCGGCCGCCCTGTGCGATAAACTCAGCTCGCGCTTGCAGGTCATTCACATGAGAAATTACTCCACTTTCAACGTGAGGAGTACGCGAATGAGGAATTACATTTTTGCAAATTCTATACAAGCAACTCAGGAAAAATAACGCATGGAGATTATCACACTTCCATGCTCAGTAACAGCATATCCAGCCTAGGAGCACGCCAAAGTGACGCTGTCCCACGTCTGGCTGGTTTTAATTGCCAGTGAAAGGCCTCTATGTGTGGGTGAGATCAGAGTGCTGTTGATGGTTAATTATTTTTAACAGACTGCACAGAGTAACTTCACAGAACACCAGGAGCAGACGGGACTCACTCAAAGAACCCAACACGGCTTTCCATGAATCTCTCCCATGTGCACGCAAGATGCACACACGGACAGTGCAGCTCTCCAAGTAATTCCCACCCGTTTGCCAGATCTCTGTACAAGAACTGACTCGGTTGGAATAGCACTGACTCATTCCCCCGCTTAAAAACATGCAGCTGCAGAAGAAGTGATGATTCATTATGGGAAGTTCTTGAAGACAGTTTCCGAAGTGCCCGCTGAGCACCAGCGTGTAAGACACTTCCCTACCTTCAACTTCTCAGTGCTGCTGCTGTTCTCCAACCTGCCAGGAGAGCAAACCGAGCAGCTGAAGCAGAACACGCCACCCCTTTGCCAACAGCGAGCACAGCAGCCGAACACAGGCGGCGAGTGGCACGCACCCGGCAGGAGGGAACACCACGACCGTTCCCACTCCTGCTCCCCGAAGTCTCCGTGCTTCAGAGTGCTGGTGCCAGGAGCGGCCTCCAGCCATCGCTGTTCTTGCGATCGGTTATTCCGGGTCACTGCGTGCCAAGCTCCGAGCAAATAATAAAGTGTGGGCTCTAAAGTTCTGGCCTCGCCTTCCACGTTAGCAGGGGTCTGCTTGGTAGGCCAAAATTGTCGTTTCAGATAACGCCTCAGAGTGACCCCCGACCAAAGCAGAACGACAGGGTGTGTAACACGGGTGAGCGCATTCCAGTCCCTGTTTGATTTTCTGCGCATTAGTCTGTTCCGTCACATTCACAGGTCTGTGGAGCTGCCCACGCCCGAGCTGATTTTCCCAAGTCTACCTTGCACATTTACCTATCATCACTGTAGTGGTGTCAGCAAATGTACGAACAAGCAGGTCTCTGCATTTCAAAACTGATGCATTAATTTTTAAATAAGTGTCATGATAAAAGACTGACAAGCCCAATTCTCTTTACAGCCTATCCAACACTACATGGGAATCGCCTGTAACGAGCATCTCCTAGAAAACAGCACAAGGCTTCCTGTGCAATCAGTCAGGGCTCACCACTGCACTACATTAGTCAATTTGACAGGAACAGTCTAATTGGAGACTATTAATCAGAAACTTTCTTTGGTATTTGTCCTGATGAAAACACAAAACATTGTTCAGATTCACTATTAATCACCAGCTGGTAGAGTAACGCCTTTAAAGTTATAAAGGTCGCAGAACGGCAGGGAGGATTATGACTAAGTTCAGCATCTTCCCGTTCTATTCCTGAAAGTCGAAACACTTCACTTGAATACCAGCATCCTTCAGCGACAGCAGAACGTTTCTTCCTGCTCTCCCCAGCACTGTCTGTGTGCACAGCCACAACACCCACACGGACCAGAACAACTCTGGGATATCTGCAACACCCCAGTTAGGGAAACGCTAATTATTCCAAGTTAGATTAAGGGTGGAGTCTCTTGTTGCACCAGGAACACACAGAGGCAAAGGCAGTATAGTTATTCCAGAAATAAAATTCAAACTCCTTTCCTCCCACGTACAGCCTGCATTAAAACCCCCCCGCACGTAACTACGGCAATCCTGTGCACGGGTACTCCGAGCTGAATTCCCACATCTGCCACAGGAACGCCCCGGCGAAGAGCGACGTTCCTTCCGGACTCGGCAAGTCTTGCACTCCGCAGGGAAGATCATGCTCACCCGTTCTGAAAACATTTTTCAGCTTGAATCAGAGGAGTTCCGTCCTTGTGAGAGCGACAGTGCCGGGTTCTTCACGCAGTCACACGCAGCATCGTTGTCTCCGGCACACACAGTGCAGGGATCGATGCTTCCTGTGAAACTCATCCTCAGCTGCTCAGAGGCAGAAACAAGAGAACCTGATTCGTATTTTTAGGAGGTTCTATCAGCCTCTCTTGCAGCAGCGGTTCTGCACCTTTAGGCAGATTGTCATTAGAGCAAAATCAGTGCAGAATATTTCCAAATACCTCAACAGGCTCCGTATGTTGTGGTTTTTAAAATGCTATTACAAAAAAGCATCTCTTGAACAAATGAATCCAACTCCAGAGCCATGTCTGGCTGCAAAGTACAAGAACAAGTGATAAGGAAAGCTTTTACTGCTCCTTCTTCAGCAGCACCTTCTTCAGCAGCACTTTCCAGCTAATCTCTAATACTGAGCTGAACAGGGTTTCTGAATGAATCACTTTTCTTTCTCACAGCAGGGAACAGAGTTCTGAATATGAAAGAACCTAACAAATTCTGACCTTTATTCTATCTTTACAGAGTATTTCCCGTTTCAAACCAAGAGATACCAGAGCGCAACGCGGGCCTCAAAGGGGTAATGCTGATTAAAGCGTTCCTTCCTTCTAGAGATGCTCCACTCCTGTCAAAACAAACTTTGCAATGTTTTGAAATACCTGTGATTTTTGAAACATGCTCATTACAAATGAAAAAGGCAAGGAGCCACGCTCAAAAACCTGAGATGCTGTCCATGAATAACAAAAAAACACCCAGTTTTTAAAATAATTATTATTTCCAGAGCTATTAACTTACCTTCAACGTGTAAGACACATTATTACACATCCCATGAACACACACACAGTTAAGAAAAATATTTTAGTAATATAATAAAAAATAATAATATCTGGTGGTGCAAACACAGCAGGGAAGGAATTCTACCTGCAAATGGAAGTGCCCAACTCTCACCTGTCTCATCTCTCCAGACATGCTTGTAGGTTCCCAAGAAAAACTTACAACATGATTGAAAAGGAGTCGAGTTCACAAGTGTGTGTTTCCAAACGTTCGCGTTACTTGGGGTGTATTTCCAACAAGAAAGCTGAGGTCTTTTCCCAGAAGAAGAATTTGAAAATTAGCTCAACTTTTGGGAATTAGCAGCTGAAGTGAAACTGTGCTCAAAGGCACTAAAATATACTTTGAATTCCTTCAAATCTCAGTGTGAGGTACCCCCACTAATTGTTTCAAGGGGGTAAAATAAGAAAAAAGAATAAATCTGCTTATTCTTACAAAAGAGAATAAATATTTTGTGCATAATATTTAAAGACCTGTTGCTCTAAGCTCTCTATTTTTTTCTTATTAGTATTTAATTACATACACAATGCTACCAAAGTCCTTACAGTTTTTTGGTTTTTTTTTACAGGTAGGTAGTACAATATACCTGCAGTGATTCTGGAGCATTCATTTCTTCCACAAATACGACACTACAGGCACAGACTGAAACACCAAAATGTCTCAAAATGCACAGAATATTGGCTGTTGAATTTTTAAGTGGATTTCTTATGTCTATTTTTTTTTCCTAACAAGTACTGCTTACTAACCCATTGAAGGACTGTGATTTTGTTTCAGATGGCAAACAGGCTTGGCAAGTGAAAGAAAAAAGACACACAAAAAAGACAAAAAGTCCATTTATAAAAGAGCTCTTCTCATGACTGCAGTTACTCCCCGTTTGCCCTCGTGTCCAACAAGAAACCAGAAGGAACGTGTAACACCCCACGTACTCCAGTTCACGGCTAGTTGCATGTTCTAAACGGGGAAACTTTGACTTCTGTGCATCCCCCAACAGGAGTATCTGCTCCAAGTTTATTCTTATCCAAGAATAAATAATAAATCATCTGCTCCAAAACAAGACTACTCTGTGTAAAATTGGTTTTTTGTTTGTTTTTTCTTTTCTGTTTTTTCTTCAAAATATAAAGCCAATCAGAAGCTTTGGATAATGCCATGTTTATTTGGCTAAAAATGCGCATTACCCCAGTTCACAATAAAGTTATCCCTTTTAATATTAATGGAAATTCTCTATATTTATTACAGCTCTTAGAAAAAAAAAGTCTACCAGCTTTTTGTTAAGCTTTCCAAAGTCTATGCAGCTTCTATATATGCTCTGCTATTTATAACTTTTGTGTTGTAACTAATTAGGTTTTAAAGCAAAGTTAATGACTTAAACTTTCTAACAAGCATATTAGAATAGCCTTAACTGATAAGATATTTCTCTGGATGCCCACCTCAGAGATCAACAAAACAAATAATGGAAATAATCTATTAAAAATAGACAAAAATGTACTCCTAGCCCTGCCAAACCTGGAATGAAAGAGATGACACCAGAAAGCACATCCCACACCTGCACTATAAAACCAACCCAAACTGCATGGTGTCACACCCCCAAACTCCAGCGTCCCGACGCCAGTTCATCATCACAGGTGCGAAGCTCTGGGTCAAGTCAGCCATGTTCTGCAGTGACATAGCCCGTCACACGGGCATCACCTGGCTCCTGCGGCCAAAAACCACCGTATGAACAAAAGCAAGGGGGCAGGAAGACTATGAATGTAGGAATTTGCTCGCATTACAAACTGCAAAAGAACAGGCTGCAATAGTTTTTCAAGCAAATAGTAAGCAATATTGAAAATAAAATTAAAAAAAAAAAAGAAAAAAGCAAAAAGCCCTCGCTTCATGCTGAACTGTCCCCTTGCTCCCTCCTACGCCCCCCAATAAAATGAAGTTTTGGTGATCCATAGTCCAGCTCCATTAAACTAAACTGTGGAGCTTCTGCTCCAGATGAGCTTAAATTAGGGAAGGAAGGACAGAAAGCGACCCTGCTGTAACAAGTAGTAGTAAAAACCACCCTAGCTATACTCATTGCCTTTAAAACATGGGAGTTTTCTGGCAAAGCTCGTGCATGAAGAGCTCTCCCCTATGGAAAAGTATCTCCTGTCTTCTCTTCCAAGTCATACAGGGAAAGGGAAAGCAGCAGAGGAGGTGCCACATGGGGAATTCACCCGCACCCTCCGGCGCCCAGCCGGCCCCTGGTATTTATCACCCTTCTCACAATGCTGCCACCCTTCCCAACGTGGTTTTGTTATGCAGTGAGACAGGAGGTGTCCGAGCCTGCCCTCCCGCAGGTCTGCCCGGGGCCGGGGCTTTCCCTGCCCGGGCGATGCTCCCGCCCGGCCGTGCCG